GTGTGGTGGGTGGGGGGGGGGGGGGGGGGGGGGGGGGGGGGAAGAAGATGAAGTTGTAAAACTTTTTCGAATAATACTATGTAACACCAGTGTAGATGACAGAATTTATGACTCATTTAATAGGACTTATGGTATGTTGACGTGAATACCAATAATATTATTCTTGGGATAGTAAGGGGGACGATGCTTGAGGTTCTTTCAATTGGGCTATTTCAAAGGCAATTATTGAGGAAAAATCATAGCATCTTTAATATAGAAGTGCTATATGACACCTACCATATGTATACATGTAGTGTAAGAATTGTAATAAAGCACACCACATTCAGAATTTATAAGTCAAATAATGCAAATACACAGTTATTACCAGACAAGGATGCTTAAAGTGATATTAAAATCTACCTAATTTCTACACCATGGTTTTTTTTTTGCATCATCAAGACTTTCGAATGTTTCAAGCATGGGAAAGACCCTTAATAATTAAAACATAAATGCCAAGAGACGGATCAATTGCCTGAGAAGAAACTTAATATACAAATCGAGAAATTTCTAAGGTCGTCTTGGAAGGCAAAATTTGCCGTCATTTGTTCTTTCATGCCTCCTTGTAGGGTTAGGACGAGTTGTGGACTCTTAAAGATGTGAAAGGGCTGAAAATGTGTCATTGATAAGATAGGCTCAACATGATCGAGACCTGACTAAACATTTTCACCTCTACATGTAAGCACATTACATGCATCGAAATTAGCAATTTTTATACTCAAGGTTCTCAAACTCCAAGGATGATGTTGTAGGGACTTTTGCACCATTTTCAGAGCAAAAAGGTAATCCTTTTAAGGATATGGCTACAGGGTTTTCTGGGACAAGGCCGTCCATGTCTTTACTGAATTCTTTATATTGTTGGCTTCTTTATGCTAATTCAAGATGCCGACCTTTGCCTGTCTTTTCTTGTTGATTTCTTTATGTGACATTTCCTTTTTCTCTATTGTTTTTCTCTTTTTGGAGATTCTGATTATTAATTAATTATATGGGCATTTAACTGATTTCAACCACACACGAATAAGTTTGAGATGTACACTCGCTAAAAATTGAATGTGTCGATTATTTTATTTTTAGAGTGTTTGTCTATTCTCTTCTAGGTACCAAAGCTAAAGAAATTAGAACCATTTTCTAAATGCCTAGTTTCTTGAAGTTTATAGAAAGATACTATAATTGACAAGTTTTAAGTTCATACAAAAATGTATTAACGAAACTAATTACATGACAATTTGTGATCGTTTGGGGTATCTTTACAAAAGACTTTTTAAAAGGATATATGTATATTAATTCTTTGAAAGGAAATTTACGAAATACATATTAAAAAATATTTAAACAGACAAAAATATATTTATTTGTAAATAAAAAATTATGGCCTATGCATTAAATTAGGCTCCTCTTTGATCCTCATTTATCGGGTAAAATGTATTACGGAATAACAATTTTTTGGAGAATATGTGATTAAAAAGTAAGAATTTTTTTTTTAAATATGTGTATAATTATTTTATAGAAGAATGTGTGGTTGCAAACGAAATTTGATTAAATGCATTTTTGAAAAAATTGGAGCTCAAAGAGGGGATAGGTAACAACTTGCATACTATTTGTTTAATTATTTTATCAAATTAAATTACTAAAATGTGTGTGTGTGTGTGTGTTTTTTTCAATTTTATTAAATTTGTTTTCATCCAGTTCTAACTTAAATAAATAATTGAAAAATATAGATAAAACATCATTTGATTTCCTTTTTCAACATTGTAAATGGGAATTCTTGTCGTATTTTAAATATTGGGCACATGACATAAAAATTATCACCCGATAACTCTTCAGGAATTTATGCACAATTGCTAGCTTTTGGTTGTTAACCTGTCCTTGTGATTGACAAGAGGTAGTACATAAATATTCACCCCATTATCCATCCACTATGCTTTTCAATTGTCTAACATTTCCTCACACTTGGTGCCAATGAGAAATTTTTATTTATTTATTTATTGGAGAGAAAGAGAAAATAAGACTATTCCTCTTTTATGTGATTGACCTTAACATTGTATATATATCATAAAAATATCTATTATTTTTTTTTTTAAAAAAGCAAGTGAATGAAAAAATAATAATAATCTAATCAAGAGACCCTAAAAAATTTAGAAAAAATTGCAGCTACGGTACCAAACTTTTCACTTTTATACGGATTTGACCCAAACATTTACTTGTGGCTAGATACCAAACATTTCAAAAACTCGCACTTAAAGTCCAAATGGATGGTTTTTGTTAATTTGACCGTTAGTTGACATCAATAATTAGAAAATTGATAATTTTGACCAATCAGACCAAGGGTAATTTAGTCAGAACACATTTCTCTCATTTAAAAATTCAAAAAAAAAAATAAATAAACCCAAAATCAAAATCATCTTCTTCTTTCCAATACCCTCGCCCTACCCCACCCCATCCCACCCCAAAACCAAATCCAAGTCACTCGCCACCCACACCTTCACCTTCTTCCCCAGTGAAAAATCAAGAACAAAAAAAATGCAATCTCTTCCATTAATTTTTCTTTTAATTTCTTCGCTCAGAAAATTGGATTTTGAGAAAAATCTGATAACTCTCAAATTTATTCATACAATTATAGACCATTTTGGCCAAAGGAAGGTATACCTATTCAATTATAGCCTATGCTTTTGAATTCTTGGAAGGCAAGATTCACTTTTATAATCTTTAACTGAGTGGATATATCCATTTCACCATCTCTTTGACCGTTTAATTAAGGTTCGGCATCCATTTCCCAAACAATATTACTGATAATTCTTATTTGCAATCAGGCAAAGCCCCCCGCCCGACCCGCACAGACCAGAAAAAGAGCAAAATGGATGAATGAACAACAAAAAAGGGGATTTACAATGATTTCTATTTTCTAAGTAGACATATGGGGTTATGATTTCTTGATTTCTTCATTAGGGGAGAATATGAAAGGGTGGATGGCGGTGGCGGTGGCCGTGGCCGTGATTCTGAATTTGGTTTAGGGTGGGTTGGCGTAGGGTGAGGGTATTATGAAGAAGATTTTGATTTGTTTTGACTCTAGTTGGGAGTTTTTGAAAGGTTTGGTACAATGGGTGCTACAAAGTAAATGTTTGGGTCACATTTGCATAAAAGTAAAATGTTTGGTATCGTAGCTACAATTTTCTCAAAAATTATATTTAAAGAGATACATGGAAGAGAGAAATTTTTGACAAAGAGAATAATAATTATAATTTAGAAAATAAAAAATAAAATTAAGGTGGTACATATTTAAAATAAAGGATGTAATTTGTTATACTGACAGAGGGTATTTTGGCACGAAGATTTATTTATAATGAAATGTTTGTACCTTCTTTAGCAAAATGTGTTCCTCGTTACCGTTCAACAAAGAATAGTAGTTAAATTGTAAAATTTGAAATAAGGTATGTAAATTGTAAATACTCCGTCGATATATTCACCTTATTTTTTATTTGTCTATTTATAAATTAAACCATTATATTTTCTTCCCATATAGATGCTACTATTCTGACACTCAGTTGTGATGTAAAAAATTAATTCGTTGGCTCCCAAACCATGGATAATTTAATTATTTTTTACATCTTACTCATCTTTAAAAGATTAATCTTGTAAGATGAAATAAAAAGTTATCAAATCTAATTAAATTTCAACGAGTAATTTGATTTGAATAAGACCCAGAAGAGAACTTAGATTTCAAAATTAATGTACTCAAACGAGCTTCCTTTTTGTAGGGTGTATTAAAGAATAAATTCTATATCGATTTAATACCAAAATGTAGATCAACATATAAGAGTTTAAACTGTTAAATTTAACAAGATTGACATTTTAAGATGAAACCCAAATTTTAATATTTCATGGACGCTAACGTACCAAATGATATGTATGATTTTAGGATGAGTTGTGCTATTCATAGAGCTTGTTTGGGAATAATTTTGAGAATTGATTTTTTGATCGTTATGAGAAAAGTGAGGTCCACTCATGAGAAAAGAAATCAAATATGACGATTGAAATAATGAAATAACGATCAAAAAATCAAATTTTTGAAAAAAAAAGTCGCTTCCAAGCATGCCCATAATTTGTTGGCCATTGATGAAAGAAAAAGTATATCCTAGGATCCAAACATGAAGTCGGTACCTTAACAGGAAGGTTCTCCCTATCAAGTAAGTCTGTAAGTGGGCCCTTATCTACACCAAAACGTGTCAACCTTCTCCATTCCATACTTCAATCTCCATCACACACAAACGGTCATGATTGAACTATATTTCTTTTTATTCGAATTAGTCCCAAAAGAAATATTAAACGATTATTATGAAACTTCGTCTATGGGTCGTTGACGCGTGATACTTGCACAAAATGCAAAAATCGATACAATTATAAATAGGATCGAATTACACAATCTGGGCTCCATTTTTATCATAAAAATACATTTTTAAATAGTGTATTGATGTGAAATGTGTGGTTAAAAAATAAGAAAAAATTTTAGATTTGCTTGTAATATTATTTTATTGAAGAATATGTAGTTGAAATGATATCAAATTACTGTTTAAAAATACATTTTTTCCCCCTAAAAAATGAGGCTCAAACAAGGGATTAAGATTGATGAGATCGAATTCTTTCTAAGACAAGCCAATGGTGCATTTGGACACTACACTCATCTCTTCATTCAGCTGAATAATTTAACGTGCATTCTTTTATCAATCGTACTTGACGTACAGGGACGACTCTTACATGGATCTTGCAGATTATTCACGAAGAGGGGTTTGGATATTTTGGGGGGTCATTTTTTATTGATGTGAATCCCACCTCATGTGAGTGACTGTGGCCTGTAAAGGATCCATGAAAATATAATTATTCTTCTTTCTTGAATTGTGCAGCATTCTCAGTTCTATTGATAAAAAGATTAATCTTTAAATTATATTATATTAGCTTTACATATGAAATACTTTCGAGTAGTCCAAGGAAAGAATACAAATGATTTGGCTCTCGGGTCCGTTGTTTAGCGATCCTAAGAGAAGTTGTGTCTGAAATCTGGTAGAATAAGAAGCACAAAAGTCAGTATAGATAAATAGACAAGTTAAATTGTGAGTCAAAGTTACGGGAGTCCGAGAATTTACCTAGTACGCACTTGAAGGATAGCGACTGCGAGTTCTACCGTCATTAAAAAAAATAATAAAAAAGGTTAGTAGTTACACTCCAATAATTCGAAGCTATTCAATAATTCCAATAGACTAATTGATTTACATGTGCCACTGTGCATTTTTATGACGACATTTATGGACCTATATAGATAAGAAGTGTGACAAACCAATCAATTCTCAAATTCCTCCTAGAAACCTCGTCTACACCAACCCTTCAACCAAACTCCACCCTCCACCACCACCACAGCCACCAAACCATGGCGCACAAGTGCTCCCACCAAACCATGGCGCACAAGTGCTGCGACCACAAGGACAAGCGGAAGAAGATCATCCAGCGGTGCTGTGCCGGCCTCCTAATCTTCGTCTTCATCGTCCTCCTTATCATCCTCCTCGTCTGGGCCATCCTACAGCCAAAGAAACCCCGGTTCATCCTCCAAGACGCCACCATCTTTTCTCTCAACGTATCCGCCCCCAATGTCATCTCCACCACCGTCCAAGTCACCATCAACTCCCGCAACCCCAACTCCAAAATCGGCGTTTATTACGACAAACTGGCCGTGTACGCCGCCTACCACAACCAGCAAATTACCTACTACACAACCATACCACCAGTTTATCAGGGCCACAAGGACGTAAACATCTGGTCGCCTTTTGTTTACGGTACCGACGTGCCAGTGGCGCCGTACAATGGTCTAGCCTTGAACCAGGACAAGTCTAATGGAGCTATATATATGATTTTCAAGATCAATGGCCGTGTTAAATGGAAAGTTGGGTCCTTCGTCTCCGGCCGGTACCACCTCCATGTCTCCTGTCCGGCGTATATTCCTATTGGAAATAGCCGGAATACTGGAATTGTGGTGGGAACTGCAATTAAGTATCAGCTATCACAGAGTTGTAAAGTCAGTGTGTGATAATCAAGAATAATTATATTCTTCTCTACAAGCAGTTAATTAATCTTCTGATGAATTGTGCATTTTGCTGATGAATGAGAACTACCGACAAAGAAGGCAAAATTACAATTGTGAAAGAAAATAAAAATTGTTCCTTGATTAGTAAAGTCAACTGAGTTTTTAGTGGGAAGTAAACGTGTTACTTTATTTCATATCTTGCATTAAAGACCGTTACTTTTGCTTTTTTATTTTCTTAATTGCTCTAATAAATTATCAATTAGTTAAGGTTTTACTTTATAATATTTTATTGTATGGTTTATAGTACTTCTGAGCTGTTTTTGTTGAATCAAGGAGTAGAAACTGGGCTCGCCATGTGATACATATGAATAATTCTGCCAAACTACGACCTCATTTTTATATTTTTTGATTCATAAGTTATAAATTTTCGTCCTCCAAAATTGATATACGGCTATTCCTACTAGCTCGCACGAGATGATCTTATTTTCTCAAGAAGATGGGAACTATCGAACGAGTATTCTTATGAGACTCGTACTTAATGACTAAGAAATACTGTATATATTAAAGTTGCCTTATACATACTCGCTCTTTTCTGAACATCTCAGTTGAATTAGTCCATTGAAAAATATTGCTTAGTGACTAAGAAGTAAGGACTCACTATGTAAGTAAAAAGGTTCGTAAAGGTGTTTTTTTGTTTCACAAGTGGGGGACTGGAAAATTTTGGTAACCAATTCTTGAAAAATGAAGAAAGCAAAAAATGACTTGTATACGTGCACGAATATAGGTCAAGATATTTAGTAAAAATTGAATTTTGTTAGACAGGCAGACAAGGATGTTTTTGGGTGTGGTGGAATGGATTTAAGACTAGAGAATTTCATTTTTCGGAATTGTTTAATTAAAGGTTGAACCCCAACTTTGAGGGCCTCCATTGCTCCGTTCCTAGAGTTTTGTAAGGGAGGTAAATCGCGGGATGTGCCCCAGCAGGCGAGGGAATAAGAACTGTCTGTACATTGCGCCTACAACGAGTCCAATTCCATGTCTCAGGAATCGAACCCCCACACTACGACTACCAGCAAGACGTGAGATAACTTCACTCATTTTCTTTGCACCACTGAGCTATTCCTCGGGGGCTTTCAAAATTGTTTACTTCATGGCACTATTAGTGGTAGACATTGGTCGGTCCAAAGTTTTTCAATTGTTGGCAGCATATATTCAAATTAAAAAAAAATGTAAAGATATTCATAATAAAATAAATTTTTTATTATTTTCCAATGCCTTTAAAAAGACAAAATGGTATACACTTTTCGTAGGAGATAAAAACCGGAGTCCTAAAAATAGGGATTGGTGACATAATATAAAAGATAAATACATTGTGTTATTGTCAACATTAATGACTATTCATGGCCAAATTTTGGATGTCATGCATTGTGTCAAAGTAAACGTGATGACACCCATCAATTTCAACATATATATATATATGTATTAATTTTAAAGGTTTTATATTCGAGCACTTCGACGAAATTTGTAAAGTACTTTACAAATTTTATATTAATTTTGAGGCCTCAAATATATATGTTTGTATAAAATAAATTAAATAAAAGGTTTGTGTGGTTAAAACTTGTGGCTAAAAGATGGGTTTTCGTACCGGTGTTTAGGGGTGGGCACATGTGTTTTGAGACTAGCCCCCTACCACCAAATCGATTTTTAGGGTTGGTTGAAATCACAACCTGAAGTTGACCTGACACTAGTTAAAAGTCCCTCCAAACTATTTTGAATCAGTTCGTTTTGAGTCGGTTTGATCGGCTTCAACGAAAATACCCTTAAAATATTTATTTAAAACAAAATTAAAATCGAGATTTTTTGTGAAAATTGTCGTGTTAAGCCATGAAATCGATGCGAGCTGCTGTCGATCAATCCAATTTCACAGTTTGACAAGTAAAACATCCAGTCCCGAGAGTGTCCCATCTTTCACATGCCCCATTTGGCGTTGCTTTTCAATCTCCACCCTTCTACCTACTAATAATTGTATTAGGAAAGGGACTTGTAATAATTGTCTAATTTCAATGAGCTTTTCATCTTCCTATGAATTAGTGAAGCGTGTCTAATCACTTTCACATGATGATTCTTTTATCTTCCTATGAATTAGCGAAGCGTGTCTAATCGCTTTCACATTATGATCCTTCTATGTGACATAGGTCATATATAACCACAATTGTCAATCTTTTTCATAATTCCACGTATTTTCATCATATATATCATGTTCAAGAATGATGAGTTATGCACATATCCCACATGGTGATATGACTAAGACGAATTAGCAAATTGTTTAAAGTTAACTCTAATTAAGTCCTTATCTTCTTACGAGATCAGTCTTAGATCATATAGATGAACTCATAAAACTCACAATCGACAATAAGAGTTGTCAAGCTCGAATGTAACTCTATGTATTAGTGGCCAAACCAAACAGGTCTACACCCATTTGAGGCAAGGTTCTTGGAGACGCACTAAAGAGCTCAAATTAATTAAGAAATACTTGAGGGTTGTTTGAGCCCCTTTTTTTTTTTTTTTTCAAAAAATGTATCTTACAATAGTATTATAATGAAGAATATATGTTTAAAAAATAAAAATAAAAAGTTTTGAGTTTATGTGTAATATTATTTTATTAAAGAATGAGTGGTTGAAATGAGATTAAATCATTGTTCGATAATGTATTTTGATGAAAAAATGGGCCTAAACAAGGGCTAAAATTATAAAAATAAAAAATAAAAAAGTCTATCCTGTACTTTAGTCATGATGTACTACTTAGACATTAAAGGAGACCAGCATACATAGATATATTTAAATATTCTTAAAATGTAATTAAGCCTTTATTTGTCAGTCATTCTATCACATTTTAACACATTTTTTCTATAATACTTATCTTCAATCACACGTTCTTCATTAAAATAATATTACACATAAATAAAAAACTTTTTCTTTTTTTTAACCATATATTTCAACATCAGTCATTAAAAGGGCACAAATACATTTTTTGAAATTAAAGGGGCACAAATAGGCCCTAAATAGGAACTAATAATTTTCTCCGGTGTTAAATAGGCCAGAAAAATGGCCTAAAGGCAAAGGACTCAAACCTCTTTTTCCACGACAGAAGCTGTATCAGAGACTGAGTAAGGATTTCTCAACTGTTGATCGACGTGACAATCAGCTCTGCAAGAAAGAAGCATCTCCCCAAGGTCAGGGCCCGTTCTACATATAAACTTTAGAAATTCAATTTGAAGTTTGCTAGCCTCAAACATAAAATATTGGGCCTTACAAGTCCAATAGGTAGGTCCAATCTTGCACTTGAGCATCCACCCATGAGCCAACACATATTTTCCATAAGTGGAAATTACACAATGACCGGTCTTTAAAGATCATTTTACAAAACTGAGGTACAAGATTTAATTAATCATAAATCAGGTTTTAATTATATATTTTAATATTAATATTAATATTATAATTAACCCACCCCAAGCCCTAAATTTGTTTTCCTTTTATGGCTCTCTCCCATTTCCCGTCTATCTGCAAGTTTCTCCTCTCCGACGACACGATATTTGAGGCGCAGTCGCAATTTCTCCATCATCGATGTTGTTGCACACGGATCAGTGGTTTCGTCGATACACAAAGATTGTGACAATCATGGTTTCCCCAGCGCATTGCATTTGCCCGGGGATGTAAGCCTCGCTTCTCTTCTCACGATGAGGATGGCGATAGAGTGTGAGCCCGCTTATTCTCTGCTCAGCTTTGCCGACCGACACTACTATGCACGATAGCGTCGCTACGATGTGGCGAGATCGACTCCAATCAGATGCGGTATGGTGCGGTGGTGAGTCTAGTGCGGTGGATCTAGGTAGCGGTGTTGGTGAGTTTGGTGCTATGCATTTCTGTTGGTGGTGTTGTGGGATGACGATGTATGATGGTAGTGCAATGGATTTAGGTAGGATGGAGATTGTGGTATGGTAGCGATAGTGTAATCGGTGCTCGGGTTGGCAGTGGTGAGTTGGGTGGTGTTGTTGAAGTTGGAAGTGGTGTATTGTTGGGTGTGTTTTGTAGTGGTGGGATCTGATTTGTTGTTAGTTTTTGAGTGATGCTAGTTACAGTCGTGGTGGTGGTCATGGAAGTGGCAACGGTGGTTGTGGGTGGGACGGCGTGGGATATGGGTGTTTGTTAGTGGTTGTAGTGGTGTGGTACAGGCGTTGGGATATGATGCAACTGGTGTGATTTTCAGCGTCTTCCAGTGGTGGTGGCGGTCGATGATGGTGATGGTGATGAGCAATTGGCAGTAGTGTTGGTGGCGGTGGTTTATGACCAATTATTTGGTGCTCGTGACCAAGTATTTGGTAGATTTTATAACTCATGATCGAAAAATAATATGCGACTAGTACAAAAACTGTGACTTATAATTTTTTGATCTATGACCAACGAAATAAACTATGACCTATAAAACTTTTGATTTGTGACATCGAAATAATTTGTGACAAATTAATTTGATAACATGTGATCAATAAATAAATTGTGACATATAATTATGTATTTGTGATCATTAATTGTATAATTGTGACCTTGTTATATTTAATTAATAATTATTTTTAATTAATTAACTAAGAAAACTAATTTTTACATTTTGTAAACTTAAAAACTTGATTTTTGATGTCTCCATACTTAAGGCAAGATTTGTGAAATTTTCCCTATGCATAATGGAGGTGACAATTCATCTTGTTCATATTGTGTTCAAG